GCGCTCCTGAGAATGATTTTCAAATTTTGAAAGAGAAGGAAGAGAATGGGGAAGTTATAAAGAAGATCTACAAGAATCTGATTATTCAGTTACACAGATTTATATATGTAATCAAATGATCGTCCTTCAATCACAAAAGAGCCGTTGCTTGTCAAACGTTTCTTGTTCCGCTTAAGCCTCCAAGGTTTATGATTCCTTCTTCTGTGAGGAAAACGAAAAACGTCGTCGTTTTAAAGTCACATACTCATTAAACGACACCGTTTCTACCAAGGGAAATGCAAAGCCTTGACCTTTATTGATGTTTCTTCAACCAAAATACAGCATTTCTATGAGGAAAACAAACGTATTGAAATTACAGACAAAGTTGATTGTTATTACATATGGCTTAGTTCTTTGTTCCTGAGTTCAGGTTGCTGCAGGTTGTTTTTGTTTTTCGGCTTTCTCCGCCTCCAACTTCCTTAGAGTACTCGAACTTATCTTGTTTCCACTTGATCCATCCGAAACTATTTCCACAACCTCGACCTAAACAAACATGTCACGATACGACCTTAAGTTGTGAAAGACCTCTTTCTGTTAACCGACAAACCACCAGGTAACGTCTCTTTGCTGCAGATTATGATGATTACTTAAAAGCTTCTTGAAGCACAATATGTGAATAGAAGAAAAAGAGATTGATAGACACAAGGTGGAAACCTGACAACAATAGCTTCCAAATTTTTATCGACAATAGAAGGACCATATGGATCGGTAATGGGTTCGGTATGTACAACCAGCTCAGGCTTGATAGACTACACAAGTTCATAAAAAAAATGTAAAGAGGAGAAATTCCTTTCACATTAAAACCTGACTAGAAATTTCCACATTCTGCTGCAATTACCTTGACATAGTTCTCCACATTACGCATTCTTTCTTCAATGGGTTGTATCATTTCAGTAAACTGTACACACAAAAGAGTGAAGATTGAGATAAATAAGACCTCCAAAGATCTCATCAACACAGAGTAACCATCTCAAAGAACAATTAAGCTTAAAATCACAGATAAATTCAATGCAGGGATGCTCAAATGGGTCTTCTTTTGACTTTAGATCAGAAAGATAAGAGCTCGAAAACAATCATTTGATCGCTTACTTGTTTGTTTATCAACATCGGACCATCACATACTCCGACCACTAATCGATCCCTAGCTAGCTCCGCCGCAGCCTGATAAATTACTTGGATTCTCAAAAACTCCATACATAAGCAGAAAATCGAAGAGGAGAAAAAAAAACCAATTAGTACCTTGAGGAAAGTTCGATGCCCATCGTGCAATCGATCAAACGTACCTCCGAGAACAACGGCACCGAACGAATTCGCCGGAGTCACCGCAGCTGCCATTTACGAAGATCAGAGTACGAATCAACCAAATTCCTGATCCGTTTCCAGATTCTGCTAAACCCACTAATCTCTTTCTCCCTGAGTATCACAGACGATTCGTCCACACTCCACACAGAGCGAAACCCAGAAACCACAGAGAAACGATTTCGATTTGGGAAGAGAGAAGAAAAAAAACGATGCCGTTTAGGGGATTTTCGATTTGGGGAGGGAGACGGAACAAAATGTCGCCGTTTAGAGCGAATGAAGAAGTCGTTTTGTATATCCAAGAACCGGCGTCGTTTTAATGCGACGTTATACGAAAAAACCGACTTGGGGAAGGGAAGAAACAAAACGATGTCGTTTAGGGTGCGAATGAAGAATTCGATTTGGGGAAGAAGACGAAACAATATATCCAAGAAAACGGGGTCATTTTAAGGCGACTAATATTAAGCATCTAAACGACGTCGTGTGAGTAAAACGACGTTGTTTAGGGGTAAATAAACAGAACAAAAACGACGACGTGCGAATAAATATTGTCCCGGGTAATAAGAATCTTGAACAGGCTACAAAGATTCTGCGGAATTTTATCTATGTTCCAAAGTCATAGAGCTTCTTGCTGTTTTGTTGTCGTGAAGCATTCTTGCAAGAAGTTTTGAAGCTGTGAAGTGTACAAATCAGGAAAGTTCCTGTAGTGATCGACATGAGGAGATAGCCTGAAATTGAAAGAATGTATCTTTCTTCCCATCTTCTGTTGTTCTTTGATCCGAAGCTCTACGGAATGGGACGGGACTACTTTGTCCCCGGAGCTGTAAAGATAAAGCTGAGGACATGGAGGATGGTTCTCATAGAGTTTCTCGATGATTTTCGTTAGCCTCCTGCAAGATAAACAATACTCAGCCGAAACACACAACACGACGCGCAGATGGGTGTTTTTGTCAAGCTTACCTGTTGACGTCTGGGATGTTTAGGAGGATGGGGAAGAGTTTCTCTAAAGATGATAGCATCATGTTTTCGATTCCTAAAGGTTCCTTCTTTTGCGGGTTTGAAGCGTCCTCTTCGTTTATGAAACTGTTTGGTTCTGTGTTTATGGTGGAGCTACGCTTTTTCAGTATAGCAGCGGTAAAACCCGCTGCCCAAATCTGCAAGAGGGCAGGGAATCTATTGTTGATATATATAGTAATCACCAAAAAGTTACTCATTGGTAATCTGTGCCAGTTGAATGATTTATGAGATGTGTATAACGACTACGCAATGGTCCAAGTACATGAAACAATTCTCAACATAAAAGGGAACTTAGATCCATGCAATGATGATCCGTTCTACCAAGAAGAACAAACTTTTGACATTTACTATAAAGGCTAACAATATCACATTTGCAGGATATTTAGGCCCGAGGTACCACTAACTTGTGAAGAAATGTTGGCTAAATAATGAAAAGATATCAGCGCACAGCGATTTTCATTTCTAGGTACCGAGTTATCTATCTACAAAGCTGATTGCTTAACTATCAACATTGAAGTTCAACAAGTAAAGCTTTTACTATTGCATGAATCATGATCCTACAACAGTATTGACCTCTGCAACTTTAAACAATGAAGCACTAGAGAAAACCTTGAAAGGCACATTAATAGGAACAAACCTTTGTATCTAGAGGATCTGCTCCTCCCGAGTCGATGATACAACCTTTAATCTTTTCTACTAACTCTTGTCTACCCACGAAGCTCTCAAGCAAAGCACCATAGCTGCCATAAAAAAAAAATCACTAATTTCACAATCATGTAAAAAGTATTTGCTAAATTCCAATCCCAACGAAGGATTTTTGTTTCATCAAACCTACACAAGCCAACCAGTGTTACTGAAACTATGGAACACTAAGCATTTTTCTCTACCGTCTTCTTCTTTCTCAGATACCCAATTGACCAATTCGTTACCAAATTCAGCAATCCGCCGTTCAAGTCGCCGTCCAAGATCTAACCGGAGTAAATCCCTAACGTCGACGGTGAAAGTAACGGCGTTAATTCCTCTGGAGTTATACCACTCAACGTATCTCCTTAGGTGTTTCGCTTTCGCTCCTAACCAACCGAGAAGAACCACCGTCGTCTCTTTCCCGTTCCTTCCGAACACCGTCGCGTTTCCACCTCCGTTAACGATCCGTGGAGCTCTGTTCCACACGGCGACGCCGTCGTTAGGTTCGGATCGGAATGGGTTAGCGTGAACGGCGGAGTTCTCGAGACGAAACGTTGACGTTAGCGAGAAGAAGGATTTGAAGAGATTCGCATTCGGAGGAGGAAGCGAAGAGCATCGAGTACGAGCGACGGCGGCATTGTGAAAGGGGAAACGGAGATGGTTTCTGGATTTGATCGAACGTGAATCTGGTTTTACAATGATTTTGGTGAGAAGGAGACGACGATTGAGAGGAGAAGTACTGAAGATTCTTGCAGTTGCTTCCATGGCGGATTTTTGACGATTCGGGAAATTGAATCAGAGAAAGGGAAGTAAAATTGTATCAGAGAAAGAAAAATATGTAAACATAAAAAAAAAATATAAACTTTATGAAATCAACACTCTCTTTGGCTTAGCAGGTTCGAATTGTCTTAGAGAGTCCATAACATTTACTAAGCTGTTGTTCCTCATACATGGTTTGAGACATTTGAATTGTTCTGCATTTTGGTTTAAACCATCTTTTTCTCGGATCAAATACTACAACATTCCTGAATTGGTAAAGAAATCCGATGTTTACACGCCGAAACTTGCTCGGATTCGGATGGAGTGACAATGCACATTTACAGATTTGATGACAAGGTTCGTAAAACGTATCAAAGCTAAGCACACTACATGATCTAGACAAATGTTATCTGCTTCTGCTGCTGTGAGATGATTTGGATCAGTGGATTTGGATCATTGTCTGCTTTATCTCTGTGTTACTAGTTGTCCACAGTACAATCCAAACCATGCCCTCAAGTCCAAGAGTTGTAAAGAACACTTTTTTCCCCCTACATGTAATCCTCACATTCATTTAGAAGTATAATTGTAGATACACTGTTACTGCTTACCATGTAAAGCTGGGATAAAGGCAGGCGATAACTCAAATCATAAGAGAGATTTCTCATTTCTATCAAGCTTTAAGAAGTTTGTTTTCTTCCTTTTACATGAGCATGCTATTACAGTTTACTTGATATTCTTCCTTTCGCTTGGTCTATCACTAGCTAACTTGTAGAGATCAGTACCTGGTCCACGATTCACGTCTAGGCCGGTTTTCCATCTCGACCCTGAGATGACTTGCTGCTACTAGGCTTATCATTTCCTCCACCATGCCTCTGTCAACAAAAACCAACACTTGAGGACTCTTAAACTTTCAAGCAGAGAGGAATACAAATCATCAGGTAATTAAGGTCAGTAAGTAAACTCTGAACAAGAATCTTGGAGTTGCTTTTACCTTCTTTCTAATGTCGAAAGGAATGTATCCATACTTGAACATATGCACAATTTGGCGTTTCATAGTGAGAAAACACAGAACCAACCAGTAACACAGCAAGATTGGCCAGAAGACAGGAACATCCAAAAAGGAGAAGAAAGTCATAACAAATGCAACAACAAATGCCTTAGTAGCTGCATACCTGGAACCAAATTCGCACAAGAACAAATCTTAAAACAGATCCATTCAATACTAAAGAA